CCACAAAGTAGAAGGTGGTAAGATATTCATTGAAGCTGGAGCTCCCGAAGGCTGTCTTGATTTTTATGGAAAAAACGTTACGGTCGGAAGCGCTAAGGCATTCTATGAGTGCATCAGAAATCGTGTCAGAGACGCGAAGCTCCCCCAACTTGTACCAATGGAGGTCCCGCCGCCGAGGACGCCGGCTCCCCGTGGTGGGGAGGATGGGGAGATTGGAAGAGGATCGATAGGTCATATCGTAGCAGATCGCGCGGGAGGCACGCTGAAGACGCGCCGGACAGCAAGAGATCTCGACCGATATAAAAAGGGACGCCACAGGACGTCAGGAAGAACTTCTGCATCGGCTCCGGCCGACTTCAACCCCCCTTTTTTGTGTTTTTTACACATTGTATTGTGTTTGTTGTTCTTTTCTAATAAAGTTGCTTTCTGGTTTTCGTCGAGCTGTCTAAACCGGGTGAAACCCACAACTATTGAGAAAATGCTCCTATTGAAGGACAGTCTAAGAGGAACATCCGACAAGGCGATAAAAGGGATTCAATTAGTCCCACAGAACTACGAATGGATGGTGCAGCTGCTGACAAAAAATATGGTAACAAGCCAGTGAACCGAGCACGCATCGTGAGGAAGCTCCATAACCTGCAAAAAGCGGATAGAAGCGCAGAAAGCAACGAAGCTGTGTTTGATCAAATATGCATGTTACTGAATCAGATGATTTCCGCTGGCCAAGACATTCGCAATACGAACGACGCCATGTGGATTGAGACCATCTTGGGTAAATTTCCTCAAGAAATAGTCGAGCCAGTGCTCATGAAAATGCGGGAAAAAGAAGATACCACCGTAGAAACAGTTCTGGAAATGGTTGAAGCTGAAATAGCAACAAAAGCATATGTACAAGCGCGGCTGAACTCGGCTCCTATAAAGAGAAAGGAGCTTGGCTATAAAAATGCAAGTCAACCCCAATCCTGCGCAATTTGTGAGGAAAGTGGCCATAACTCCTGGCAGTGTAGATCTCCCATCAAGGTAGCAGAGCGACGAAAAATAGTACTACAGAAGCGTTTGTGTTGGAAGTGCTATTCTAATCAGCACTCAAGTGACCAGTGTACACGAAACAACTGTCCACTTTGTGGGAAAATGCATCACAGCAGACTCTGCTACTCCAGCGAAAAGAAAAATGACCATGCTGAAATTTCGCGCAGCTATTCACGCCAAACTGTACCTCCATCAACCGCGCGTGATAGAACGCACGACCATGACAATGGCCGGCACGTGTCAAACAAAAGAACGAACGAGCCGCATGACCAACAGCAATACAGAGCCAACGCGCCTAAAAGCAGAAGCCAAAACACTAACATGCATATTCAGCCATATAGCGATGACGAGTGCGCGCAACTGGATGACAGCCTTGAGACTCCTACGAAAGAAAGGGAGGAAGTCCACACCACCGTGGAAAGCGTGCCATCAAAAACAGATTCCGAGCAAATTGTACTCATGACAGCAGAAGGTTCAATTTGGAATTACAATTCAGAGAGATTCGAAAGTGCTGTATTCTTTTTCGATACCGGTGCTCAAAGGACCCTTATTCAAGAAGATTTCGCAACTAAGCTAGGCCTCCCAAAAATGAAAACTGAGACCTGCGTCATGTCTGGGATCGGTGGACATACCGAAACCTTCAACACCAACGTGGTACATTTGAAAATAGGAACAGCCTACGGGAAAGACCTCGAGATACTAATACAAACCAAACCAGTTCTTACGAACGGTTTTCCAGCCGTGAAACTTTCTCCTCTTGACCTACAGTACCTACAGGAAAGAAAAATACGACTGTGCAATCCGAATATACGAGGAGAAAAGCAAACGCCACAAATATTGGTAGGCCTCGATTACTACTACAATTTCATTCTTGACGACGGCGACACGCACCAAATTCCATCAGGACTGCGTATGGCGAACACAATATTCGGTCCAACAATATATGGACGAGGAACGACCAGTTCATCCGAGTTCTCCGCGCCCACATCAGCATCAGTTTCTTACAATATGACCGTGATTGCAGAGTCTGAAAGAACTGCTTGAAAAGCTTTGGAGAGCTCGAAGAATTGGGATACAAGTCTTGAAACAAAAATCAGTGAAGAAAAATGACTTCCTTCAACTATTGTCAAAGGTACTTCAAACATCTCGTATACTCGGTTCAAAGAAGGATATCTCGATCAGCGTCGCTGCTTTCTGCATCATGCCCTTTGTCTTCGTCGCCTATTTGCCTTGTTGTCGCTGCTGGTAGGGTTGTGGAAAGCAATTGGACTACCCCCCGAGCGTCACGAGATGATGATCGTCCGCCCCCTGTCGTCCAGCGGTCTAATGCCGTTCTATTCGTTTCTTTCGTTCGTCTTCAACTGTAGCCTGGCGGCCTGATGCCGCATGTTTTCATCTTCCGTATTTCGTCTGCGGTCTGTTGCCGCTTATTTCCATCCGTTGAGTTCTCGCCTTGCGGTCTGATGCCGCCTATTTTCATCGCCGTTTCGTTCTTCGCTTCGCATCGCTGTTGGCACCGTCGTTGGCACCGTCGTTTCATCTCGCCAGCTTGGATAGAGCCGCCATCGTCACGATCAATCGACTTGCGGTGAGCAGTGTATGATTGGTGATCCATTTGAACCGATTGTTTAATTGCTTTTGCCTTCACTTTGCTTTTCTTATTTGTATCAGTGCTTTTGTCAGATTGGCTGATTTCGTAGTTCATGTTATATTTCGTAGTTCATGTTACCGCTTAATTGTTGTCCCGCGCAGTGTTGTGGAAATTCACGGCTTATACCGTCGTGAAATTTCACAACCTCTTTAGTACATTTAATCGATCAATAGTGGATGTTATTGCTAAAGTCGAATGTTTTGAAATAGTTTGCATTTCCCTATCATACTTCTCAATGTAATGTTTTTGAAGAAGGCCTTAAGCCGTATATAAGTTTAATAAATGGAATGACTGAAGATTTGCTT